AAAGCTGTTGGTGTGGGTCCTGCAGAGACGCTGGCTAAATTATCCAACCTGTTTGGGCCTCAGTATCCCTAGCTGTAAACTGAGGAGGAGGATCAGATATCTGTCCACTCTCTAACAATATCATTCAACTCTGGGTCTGGCAAAGTAGATGGGGAGAAAGAAAGCAGAGGATTTAAAAATAAAGTGGCAACCCACAATCTTACCACAGCCCTCTTTCTTCCCAGAAGTACTGGAAAGGGGCTTCAAAACCCAGGAACTGGCCAGGGCTGGACTGGTACATCCTGGGCCAGGGGGTGAGGTGGTAGGTGCTTACCCCACTTGGGTATGACCTCATTTGACATGCTGGGGCTGCAGAGTTGGGCACCCTGATACCTCCTGAAGCTGGCCACTGCTAAGCATGCTTAGTCATCCCTGGGGCCTTGCACCCTTGGATCTGCTGAACCCTGCCAGATGCCCAGGCCTGCCCCTCCCCACAGCACAGATGGGGAGACTGAGCCCCAGAATGGGCAAGGCTTGCCCTGTCACACAGCCAGGACCAAAGCCACAGCCTATCCCTGATTACCCAGGGACCTAAAGTCAGGGCAACAGTGAGGGAGTCACACGGAGATGGGGGAGGGCTCTGAGAAGCAGGTGGGCTGCCAGGACCATGTGGGCCTATGTGAGGACCCCAGAAGTGAAGCCGGGAAAGGAGACCCCAGACCCTGTTCTGGGTTGGGGGAGTCTTCGCCAGTCTCTGAATCCTTCAATTGGGCCTAGTGGAGAGGAAGGAGCCAAAGAGAAGACAGAACCAGCGAGACCCTCCCAGACATGACTGATGGCAGGTGCCAGGTTTGGTGCAGGGAGAGGGGGAGGGGAGAGGGTCCCGCAGAGCACTGCCACAGCACTCTTCTCTCTGCCCATCCACCTCTTGTGCCTAGGGGGTCAATTATCTGGTCTCCAACTGTACACACGGGGAAACTGAGGCCCACAGTGTGAGTGCCTGACTCAAGGTCATACAACCGGGCAGGCGCGGGGCGAGGCGACTTGGACCCAAGGTTGCGGCTTCCCCAGCCGCCCGGTGCGACACAGACCACGTTACACACAGGATGAGACGGCCCGAGGGCGAGGCCGGGTAGACCCCACACGCGGACGACGCAAGGCCGGGAACTCCTGGGGAGGCTGGAGACAGCTGGGATGAAAGGGAGGAGGAGGGGGCGATGGGGGGGGTGACGAACGAGGGGGACGGGGAGGGGCCTGCGCATCCCAGGGGCAGGGGCGCGGCCTCGCGGTGGACACAGCCCCCACCCGCGGCTCCCGGCTCCCCGCCCTCGGTCCCAGCCCCCGCGCCCCCACGGCCCCGAACCTCGTGTCCCGCACCTTCCTCTCCCATGCGTTCTTCCCTCCAGGTGCAACAAAGTAGCGTCAACCTCATGCACTCGGCGGGGGGCGGGGTCGGCGGGCCGGGACTGGGGGCGGCCGGGCCCGCGAGCTCGCCCACCGCCGGCCCGGGGAGGCGGAGGCGGGGAGCGCGGGCCGGGAACCGCTGCCTCTGAGACACCGGCTGGGCCACCGGCTCCGTACCGCGGCGGCCTGGGGAACGCGCGGAGAGGCGGACCGAGGCGGGGCCCCAGAGCTGCGGCAGGGGCGGGGCGGGAGCGGCGCGGCGGCAGCATCTGCCCTGCGCGGCCCCGCCCCTTAGCCAGAGGCCCCGCCCTCTCGGAGAGGGCTCCGCCCCTTGCAGACCAATTGGGTCTTCGGAGTCTGCGCGCCCCGCCTCTCCCGCCACCAGGTCGTCCCGCCCCCGTCTTTTACGCTTTTCATTCATCTTTAGGTCCCCAGGCAGTCAGTCCTCCCGGGCGCGGCAACTGAACTGGGTTGTACGCTCTGGTGGGGTGTAAACACTCAGAAACGTCACCTCCGCTTCCCAGTGGGGAGTCTGTCTGACTCAAGACAGCGAGAGGCAAAAGACCGAGTACAAAAAAAAGAGAAAGACCTAGTCCAGAGCTAGTGCACCATGGGAATGCTGGCGATAGCTGTGGGGAGCCCTCATCCTCCTAGGAAGCCCGCTGAGAGGGCCGCGAAGCGGAGGAAGGTGACGCCCACATCTCAAGGTATCCAGTTGCCCCGGGCTCAGGACCCAGGACAGGAGTGAATTTTGCCAGCCTGCTGCAGGCATGCTCTGTATGAGTCCCTGCCAGGCGCCCTGACAGGAGAGAGCGCAGGGAAATAGCGTTTGGGCTGAGTCAGCTGACCAAAGGATTGGGCTGTCCGGTGCACCACTAAAAGGGCAGAGCGCCTGCTTGCAAGTGGGCAACCCTAGAATTGCTGCATCCGGGCAGGGGCCGCTCTTATGTCCCCAGGTGTAGCTCCCCCTGGCTCCCGAGGTAAGCTGCAAGTCCCAGCAGAGCTGACTCGGGTACACCTGTGGTAGGGCAGGGCCAGAATAGGTGACACTCAACAATTCCCTAGGGGCGAAGACGTTTAGATTTCTTTTATTTCTTCACATTGAGCTATATCCCTAGTCTGTTCCCTTTCTCTCTATCTCTGTCTCTCTTTCGTTTTTTTCTTTCTATAGTAGGGACTGAACTCAGAGCCTTCATACTGAGCCACATCTCTGATCATTTTCTTTTTTGTTTCCATTCTTGTTTGAGACAGGTATTGCTATGCAGTTCAGGTTGGGCTTGCACTCACCATGTAGCCCAGGCTGGTCTCTTCCTGACTCAGCTTCTCAAGTTCTGGCATTACAGAACTTCTCAAGTTCTGTGCCACCATACCCAGGTTTCTGGTATTTAGAGTTCAGGTAGATGCTGGTGCCTTCCTGCCTGCGGGTCAGATGGTTTCTAGGTGAAAAGTGTTCCCAGGGTGCATGAGGGAACTCAGAGGTGAGACCGCAGCATTGGGCTTTTCTCCTAGGGTCTAAGGTATGTATCGGGCCTAAAAGGAAACAAGCTCACTTGGCAGGATATTTATTTTACAGACATTCCTTATTTGACACCTGAGTTTCACTCTTTTAACTAGGTTGTTAGATGAGGAATTATACATAGTATGTAGGTTACAATACTTAGAACAAAGAAATGGTCAAAGGAAACTCCAACTTGATGACTTTGCTTTTATTTGCATAGTTCTTCCATGCAGTACTGTAATGTATAACAACATAAAACTAGTACTGAAATAGTATAATCATCAAGAATTACAGTAATGTATAAACAAGGTGTACTGTACCAGTATATATTTGTGTATATAAATTTTGTATATTTTTTTAATTAAAAAGTTTTAAAGTTTTTTGGTATTGGAAATGAAACTCAGGACCCTGCTCTTGCAAGGTAGATACTTGTGCTGCTGAGTTATATCCCTGGCCTCTATATATAGCATAATATATATATATATATATATATATATATATATATATATGATATATGTACACATATATATGATAGATAACTGCTATTAATTTCTGTTCATCGAAAAGAACAGTTTGTACTTTCATCATTTGATTGTTCATTTTTCATGTCTAAATCTTATAATCTGAATGACTACTTTGAAAATAACAATATGCAATATATTAATTAGTGTCAATTTTCTACTGTTTTATTTTGAAATTCTGTATCATCACTTTTGTTTTGTTGTTGTTGTTTTATTTAAAAAAAAAAAACCATTTCAGCTCTGTAAACAAGTTATGCAGAACTGCTGGGCATGATGGTGCAAGCCTATAATTCCAGCACTTGTGAGGCAAAGACAGGAGGATTGTGCAAATTTGAGGCCAGCCTGCACTACACAGTGTGTTCAAGGCCAGCCTGAACTATGTATCAAGAACCTGTCTAAAGGGGCTGGAGGTTTAGCTCAGCGGCATAAGTGCCTGCCTTGCAAGCAGGCAGTCGTGAGTTCAATCCCTGGTACCGATAAATACGAAAAAGACCAAAAAAAAAAAAAAGAAGAACCTGTCTATTAAAAAAAAAGATCATAAATCCAAGTTGCAGGTTATTGATCTGACCAGTGTGCCTCATTTATAATTCTGAAGCTCGTTAAACAGGCAGGTCATTAAACCAAGAGTGTCTGTATTTATTTACTTTAAAGACAGGGCAATTCTTGCTATATTTTCTTTTTTTTTTTTTTTTTTTTGTCTTTTTTGTTTTTATCGGGATCGAACTCACAACCACATACTTGCAAGGCAGGTGCTTATGCCACTGAACTAAATCCCCAGCCCCATCTTGCTATGTTTTCTCTGACTAGTCTTTTTTTTTTTTTTTTTTTTTTTTTTTTTTTTTTTTGAGACAGTGTCTCACTATGCAGTGCAGGCTGGTCTTTAACTTTGCTTATGTAGCCCAGGCTGACCTGAAACTCACAGTGACCCTCTTGCCTCAGTTTCCTGAGGCCTGGGATTACTGGCAGACACCACCAGGCCCACCTCAGACTAGTTTTGAATATCTGAGTTCAAGTGATGCCGAATAGCAGAGATTAGACACATCCATCCCCTGAAGCACCTTGTTTAATAAAGAGGATGATTATAATGGGCAGGTCAGACTTGAGGGTGACCAATAAAGACTGGCAAAGTTGCAGAAGTTGGCAGAGAGGCAGGAGATTAAGGTATGGCAAAGCAGCCGGGCAGTGGATATGACCTGTTAGTCATGGAGACCTGTCACTCACAAAGATCCAGGACTCATGCACAGAACAACCTCTGGTGTAATAATGTAGAATCAGAATCAGAATAATGTCTGATACCAATCAGAGATTGCTGTCTTCAGATCTGCCGGCACAAGAGCAGGTCGAGCCCCACACCTGATACCGATCTCCTGGCACAGGACTGAAGGAGGTTTGAGATGGAATGGCCTAGCTCTGACACTGTTATCAGAGACAGTTGCATTGGATCTTGGCTGTTGTGAGCCTCTTCAGTGTCCCACCCTGCACTCTGCTGTGCCAGCCTGCATTTGCTCTGCAGAGCACACTTTCTTTTCCTTCTTTCCTACCTTTAATAAGTGTTAAGCTTTGCATTCTTTGTTGGTGCTGTCCAATTCTTTGAACAGGACAATAAGAGCCTGGAAAAGACCATTGGCTACTACACTGTTGGATGACAGCAGTAGACACCAGCCCAATGCAAAGAGGGGTCGGAGCCAGGTGTGGTGCAACCTGTAGTCCCAGCACTCAGGAGGCCACCGCAGGAGAATCGCCACAAGTAGGAGGCCAAGCTGGGAGTCCTGGTGAGTTCCAGTCCTGAACTACATAGGGAGAGACCATGCACCTAAATATAAGATGTGATTAAAATATCTGGTGAATGTCTAATTTATACAAAATTTTTACAGTAAAAGACACATAGTTGTAAATCTTTGTCAAACTATTTCCCCTCATTGTGAACACACCCATTTCGTTGTTTTCCCACTTTCTGAAGTAGTTCTGGAATTCTTTCTCATGACTGTTGATGGTTGATTGAGTCCGTGTAAGAGAAGCTCAACTAAATTGGCTCAGCAATTCCATACCCTAGCGCTTGGAAGACCTCCTGGGGTAACTTGTCACCTGGCTGGTATAAAGGAGAAAGGAAGAAGGACGGTCTGCTTCTTCTCTTTTGAGGAACTCTGGTTGTTGCCTTCACCTTGGATGTCATCTCCTGGCTTCCAGCGCATTATTCGGTTTCTGGTGTAGACTCTTCAGCCTTCCGTAGCCCTGACCTCCTGTTACGGACTCTCAAGGGACACTACAGTGAGCGCCAAAGATCCTTTGGTCTCCAGAGTACAGACAGACCCTCTGCCTGTGACAGAGGACACTGCAGCGAGCTACAGGGCAACTAGGCACTCACAAAAACGACTTTCAGAACGGCTTCAGAATGTGACAAGTATGATGGATAAGTGTGTTTCAAGTGAGAGGGGGAATTTTGAGGGGAATTAATTGTGTTTTTGGTTTCTTTGTACTTCAAAAATTTTTATTGGTACATTTTAGGTGTACGTCATGGTAACATTCATCATAGGGAATGTGGACCTATACATGATAGGTATTTTTTTGTACCGGGAACTGAACTTAGGACCTCGCACTTGCCAGGGGGGTACTGCACCCCTGAGCTACACCCCTGTACATGATATATCTTGCATTTTCTTTTCCCCTTCCTATCCTTTCCCTTCAACCCCTCTTTCCCTCATTTACAAAGCTTTGTTTCCATTTTTTTCTTTTTTTTTTCTTGTCACTTCTTTCCTTTCCAGCTCCCTTCCCTTGTTCCCCTTCTCATTTGAATATTTTCTTCCCATTTCTCAAAGTCTGTTATACATTTTGATCTTTATTTACACTTTCAGTTTCTCACACTAGGGGAACAACAGCGCAAGACCCGAGCCTGGGTCCAGCAGACCCACTGCTTACTTTTCTGCTGTAAGTTTGTAGTGTAACAGTGTAGCAGCAGGCTGTGTGTCTCAATGCCTTTCCCCGAAGGATAGAGAATGCAGTCTATGTGTTTACCCACTTAGGATTGCAAGGCGTGTGCATGTGTACAAAAGTGTCAGAATGGAATTTGGACCCACCTTTATGCTCTGGGGAACAGTTTTTGTCTATGGTTACCAGAGCATCACAAAGGGTCCAGTAGACCCATACCACTCAGTGATTTGCTGAAAAAAAAAAAAGAGATTTTCAAGCTGGAGATATAGCTCACGAGCATGCTGCCTGTCTGGTAGGCATGGGATAGTGAGTTTGATCCCCAGTACAAAAAAAAAAGTTTTCTTTTGATTTTTTTTTTTTTGGTAGAAGTAGCCCAATTCAGTACAATGGCACATGAAAAATCAGATTTGCAAATTTGGGAGGAGGTCAAAAGTGAATCATCAGTTTACTCATGCATGGATGATGAAGATGATCCATGATGGCAAAATACACACTTTCATAATGCAAGAGAGATGTGGGCGTATGGCAACGATGATGATAATGACTTTGACATCCCAGAGCTCATGTGACAGTGAAATGGAGCAAGAATCAACTGATAAAGAAACAGGAAATGCAGACCTCTTTGATTCAGATGATGGAGAGCAGCAATATGAGTTCTTCTTTGATTAGTTGAAACATTGTGAAATGGCTATGCCACCAAATAGAACGATCCAGTGTTAGAATAGGGCCCAAAAATGTAGTGAAGGTTTTAACAGGGGTGAAACATATTGGACAGAATTCCAGCACTGGAAACTGTACCAGATGAAATGCTACAAGATACTGTGAAACGCATCATGGCTGAAATGCAAGTACAATGTCCTGTATGCATCACTAGCCATGTTAAAAAGTATGTTTATTATGACACCTCACTAGCTGAACTGGAAGCATTCCTAGGTTTGCTATGCTTAGCACAGATTTCTCATGGTTATTGCAGGAATGTAAAAGACTTATAGAAAAGCAATGGGCCAAAATATGGCATAAGAATTTATGCCCTTAAGTAGATGCAAAGAGTTATTATGCTTTCAATTTTGACATTTGTGCTAGAACTCATGAGGTCCTTATTCATATAGTAATAAACCAAATAATTTTTTATACTTTTTTTTTACATTTTAAAAATAATAAAATCCAACAAAACCAATCAAAACAAAGCAGCAAATTTGGCACAGAACTTCAAAGCAGGATACTAGCTACCATAGTATATCTTGTTATCTTCACAATGGTTGTCCATTCCATCAGGTATAGCAAAATCAAACCATAAAGAAAATAAATAAAACCAATCAAAACAGAACTTTGAATAAAACAAAAACAATCAGAACAAAACAAAACTGAGAAAAATATTGGCTTTCAAAGAGAAGATAGAAGGAGATCCCCCACATTTGCTATACTGCATTGGTCATCCGCCCAAGAGATACTCAAACCGCTGGCTCCTAGGCCTGCAAAATCAAGAATACAAGCATTTAGTTGCTTTATGTATCTTAGTTGTTATCAATTCAGCCTGTCCTCCAAACCAGCAGGTTGTGAACAGACTTGTTGCTCCCATTTCCCAAACTGAATGGAATGTGACGTTCAACAATTGGCTTAGTGTGGTTTCCAAGTTGACCAGCACAAGAACTGTACACAGAAACAAAGCAGAAATTCCAAATAAAATGCTGTAATTTCAAAACAGAATTGTATAGTTCGATCTTTGAATTTCAGAAAGATACACGATTGACCTCATATATGGCAGAGAACAACAAATTGTACTGATGTCACTGTTGCACTATACTGGATGTGATGGAGCATGCCTATAACCCCAGCACTAGGGAGGCTGAGGCAGGATGACCACCATGAGGCCAGTCTGGGTTACATAGTGAGCTCAGGACAGCCTGAACTACATAGCCAGATCCTGTCTCAAACAACAACAACATTGCACCATAATGGAAATATTGATAGGGAAACCTTGACACAATGGAAATCTGAGATGAAAGCTTTGAAGAATGAAACCAAACGTGGAGTAAATATTCCTGATCCATTCTGCCAGTCTGTTTCTTTTTATTGGTGAATTGAGACTATTTACATTGATAATTAGAATTGATCTTTATTGACAAATTCCTTTTTTTTTTTCTTTTTTTGTCTTCTTGAGACAGGTTTCTTTATGCAGTTCGGGCTGGCCTTGAGCTCACCTTGTAGCCCAGGCTGGTCTTGAACTTGCAATGAGATCCTCCTGCCTCAGCCTCCCAAGTACTGGAATTACAAAATTCTTGTCTTGTTACATTCCTTCGGTTGGTTCCTATTTTTCCTTTAATTGTTCGCCTTGCCTGTTGGAGTCGTTCTGTTGGGGTTCATGGAGTTATATCCTTGTTATCTCTTTCTTGAATGTCCTTCAGAAAACTTTGGAGTGCTGATTTGGTGATTATGAATTTCCTCAGATGTTCTTTGTAATGGAAGTCTCTTATTTCTCCATCAATTCTGAAAGATAGTTTTGTGGGGTACATCAATCTGGATTGGAGCTTTTCTTTTAGGGCTTCAAATATTTCACTCCAAGCTCTCCTTGACTTGAAGGTTTGTGTTGTAACATCTACTGTGATTCTGATGAGTTTTCATTCATAGGTGATTTCTTTCTCTCTAACAGCTTTTAATGTTCTGTTCTTGTGTTGAATTTCTGGAATCTTGACCATTATATGCCTTGGTGTTGATTTTTTTGAACATGGCTAATGGGAGTACTATCTGCCTCACTTTTCTGTATGTCAAATTCTTTCTTCCTGCTTGGGAAGTTTTTTGCCATGACTTATGCGAACAGGTTTTTGTTTGTGTATTTGTTTTGTTGTCATTTGTACTATCTCTTGCTTTTTATTGATTAACCAATCTCATGTTATTCTTTGCATCATCTAGCAGTGGTTGGATTGATTTTTCATGGCCCCTTGCTATTTATTTGTTTATTTATTTTTGTCTTTTGAGACAGGGTCTTGCCATACAGTTCAGTCTACCCTTGAACTTACTCTGTAGCCCAGGCTGGCCTCAAACTCATACCAGTCCCGCTGCCTCAGCCTCCCGAGTGCTGAGATTGCAGGCATGTGCCACCACATCTTGCTATTTTAAAGAAATTTTTTTTTTTGGTACTGGGAATTGAACTCAGGACCTTGTGCTTGCCAGGAAGGTTCTTGTGACACTGAGCTAGATTCCTTTCCCAAGAAATCTTTCTTTTCAGGATCACTAACAGCAATTCTGTCTTCTAGATCTGATATTCTGTCCTCATGTGGATCATTCTGCTGGATACACTTTCAACAGAATTTTTAATCTCCTGGTTATCTATTTCTGTTTCATGGATTTCACTTCTTTCCTACACTGAGTATTCGTGATTTCTACCATCTTCCGTTTTTTCTCTCTTGAAACAGGGACATGCTATGTAGCCCTCATGGCAATCCTCTGACTCAGCTCCCGGGGGCTGGGATTACTTACAGGTGTGCACTGCCATGTCCAGATCCATCATTTGCCTGAGCTCCTATTCATTTTATCTGTATTTGGTCTAGTGTCACTAACCATGTCTTTCATTATGGCCACCATCTTTGTAGTTATCTGAGAAATTGTTTCTCATTTGATTTTTTTCTAAGCCTCATTCATCTGCTTTACTTCATTTGTTACCAGCTCAGAGAGTCCAGGTGAGTGGCTTTTGAATTGCTCCACCTCCTTGTCCTCTGGGTTTGCCTTTGTTGATCTGGATGTCTGGGTTTGCATCATGCTTAAGTGTGCTCTCATTTTCTATTTTTAAAAAAATGTAATTACTGAGTTGATGCTTGTAAATTGCTTATGGCAAGCAGCTTTATTG